CCACCTCCCGGCTCCCTCCCGGGCGATCCGCGCCCCCCTTGGGTCTCTCCTCCCTTCCCTCCGCCCGCGTCTCCTTCTGCGCCCCCTCCCTACGCTCGTCCCGCCGCTCTTCCCGCTGCCCAACTTTTCCGCCAACTTGCGCTCGGGAGCTGGCGAGGCGGCGGCGGCTCCTCGGTGAGTCCTGGGAAGGACAGGCCCGGGGCGAAGGCGGCGAGGCCCGCGGTTTCCTGGACTGGGGAGGAGGGCGGGAGTGGGCGGCGAGGTGGGGTGCGTTGTGTGTGTGTTGTGTGTGTGTTGCATTCCACTCCATCTCTTTTTGGTCCCCTTTTGGGGATTCACCCCCAATTCAGCAGGTAGCTTTGGGCTCAACGCCAAAAATCCAGGACATTCCTCAGTCCTTTTCCACCCCCGCTAAACCTGGGGTCCGGGTTGTGGGCGAATGGAGTAGGGGATGAACTGCAGAGGACGTGGAGGGCTAGGTTAGCTTCTCTTGGAATAGGCTTTAAGGAGGTGTCGTCACCAAATGGCTGAATCTGCTTGAGCTGAGAGCGAAAAACGACTCCGCTTTCCAGAAGGGGTGATCTTATGACTTGGACGGTCTCTGAGAGGGTCGGAAGTTTGGGGAACGGGAGGACGACCCACAGTCGTTAAGCCGAGGTATGGGACGGGGGCGGGAGGGCCGTTCCGTCCCAATCTCGTTCCTGGAGGTGGGGGAAGGGATGAGGTTTTTGTCCGGTGCGGTTCACTCGGCAGCGATGCGTAGGCTTCTCTGGCCCAGACCCCTCTGCACCCCGCTTCCCCTCCTGTTATGTTTAGGGTTGGGAGAAAAGGGAGGCTACGACCCATGTTTGCAGAGGAATTTGTGGACCTTGTAGATGGGGTTCATATAGAACACACACCCCCTATGAAGCAGCCAGACACTTTTTTGGTGGTGGTGGGGCGGGGGGTGTGAAGCGTGTTTCTTGTTCTGGTCCCAGAAGCTATCAACCCGTTTGAAAAAATTACCACGATGTCTTTCTCCCCCAATCCTCCCCCACCCCCATTTTCCAGATGTAACAGCCGCATCTGGTTCCGTTTCACCCCACACGGGTACACCGCAGCCGCATTATTAACTTCCCTCTTCCTCCCCTCCCCCTCCCCTAAATTGAAACTCGGATTCTTCAACTAGTCTTGACCACCTCCCTCCTTAACATTTCTGGAGACTTGGAGATGCGGCGTTGAGAAAAGAAAGTTCCCTTGGATCCCGAGTTATCTAAGATCTCACTAAGTTAGTTATTCGCCGCCGCTGGTGGGTGGCGGCGGTCGGGGTGCTTTCTGGATTGCGCAGAAAAGAGGCATCTTGGGAGATGGGTCCAAGGTTTTAGGGGGTGGCATTCGCGAACGGTTCATCCGCTAGACTAGGGGAGGCTCTTTGGCTGTGCGTCTGGCCAGAACTGGCCTTGACGATGGAAGTTTCTGGAACCAAAGCGTTGCTTTCTCTCCCTTGTGTGATAGCTGGAGCTGCGAGAGCGCCTGCCCTGCCCGGAGCCCGCGGTCCCCTCTCGGCCGCCCCTCGGTGGCGTCACGCGCCCCTCCCGGAGCGAGCCCAGTGCGCGGGGCCGGGGGCGTGGGCGACTGCTGCCAGAGGCGCTCCCTGTGTGTTTTTAAGGACTGATTTGGGCCGCATCCCCCGGAAACTAAAGTGGGGCGTTTTACCATTTAAGTAACGGCTACAGGTTTGAAAGCGGGGGGTTGGATTGTCCAGTTGTGTTTGGTAATAGTCTTTGAGGCAGGAAAGCGCCTTGTGGTCCAAAGTTGCGGGAGGGTGGAGAGAGTCAGTCTCTCTCACCCTCTTCTTTCCAGCCTCTTTCAAATTGAAAACACTTCTCTGGTTTCCTTCTTTGGGCGGTAGTTTTGGAGGCTGTAATGAAATCGCACTTTCTCTAGACGTGGTAATTAAGGTGACTGTTTCCTCCGCAGATGTGCCCTACCCTTTGCACCTCCGGACCAGGGCTTTTTTTGGAATACTATCTAGCCTTGAGACTGTTTAGCAGAAAGTGGCCATTTTCCTCCCTTGGCCCGGGCTCCCGGTTTCCTCCCTGAGGCTTGTTTAAAAGCGAAGTAGCAGGGCCCCGTGGGACGCGCCTTGGTCTGGTTAATCACCCCCACGGCCGGGTCATCCACCTTCCTCTCAGTGACCGAGGTTCAGCAGCCTCTGCTATTGCCGTCCCGTCTGTGCCGAGGGCCTGCCTCCCTAATGACTTGTTTACATATCCTACCCCCAGTGGGTTAGGAGAAGCTCCGGGGCTGCCCCTGACCCTCCGAGTGCAGGGTGTTTGGGGACCGGGAGGCTGCTGGGGCCTGACTCCAGCTGGGAGGGTTATGAACTGCATCAGTGACGAGCTCCTTGAAATATCTGTTGCATTTACTCTTAGTCATAGCTGAGTGTCAGCTTTTCAATGAGGTTCATCCAGATTGAGAGCCACTTGGACTTCACTGCCTGCTTTTCCAAACATGCCTGCAGAAATGCTCATTTTCCAGGTATTTTTCCCAGTACAGATTCGGACCACAGTGGGCACCGCTTGAACAATCTTAGGGTGCTTCTTTTCCTTGACCTCTGGCCATGGAGGATGTTAGAAAGTTCCATTAGGTGGCCCTTTGATAGCCAGGGAAGCAAAGGCTCAGGAAGAAATGGCGAAGTGTCCCCCACTCCCTAGGGGCAGAGGATTAGATACGTCGGGTGCATCCCTTAGGCTGGGCTAGCTTTATTCCTGGTGGACTCCAGAGGGCAAGAAAATTGAATTGAACACTGGGTAGGCAGACTCAAGCCTTAGAGACCAGGGAAAATCCATGGGTTTTGCTTTTAGTGGTGTGCTCTTTGTTTTCAGTATTGACCTGAAACAAGACTCCTAAAATGGGAGATTTGCTGGTGTGAACTTGGCGGTTTAGCAGCGGGCTTCTCCAAAGGTTTTTTTCTTGCCTCCGTTTCTAAAGTGTCTTTTGTCAAAATGGCTGTTAGTTACAGAACGTCCTAGCAAAGTTTGAGCCTGTTGATGCTGGAGGAAAAGGCATTAGAATTGATTCAAATGTCTTATTCTGAAAGGGCCTCACATCACTTGATGAATTTAATTTCCTCCTGGGAAATTTGTGTCTTGCATTTGTCTTCCCCAGAGCTTTGTAAAAGGCCTGAAAGCACCAGGGACTGGTAGGAGTCCAGATGCAGAGCTTTAGAGAAGATTCTGGTGTTTCCAGAGAGGATGAAATGTCAGACTTGGGCTAGGATATTTGTTTTTCCCCCTAAGGTTGCATCTACTTTAAACAGAAATTCCCTCCTCACCACCATTTCTCTCTCCCCTGCAATGAAAGAAACCATGTTTAGGGCCCTCTCTCCCATTTAATAGCACTCACCTGGGTGAACTATCCCAAGAATTTGGTGGGGTTCCACTCATAGTACATCCTGTCTTCAAGAGCAAGGTTTTCTAGATTATGTGCAGCAGTTGTGTTCGCCAGGCTGGTCTTGAACTCCTGACCTCAAGCGATCTGCTGGCTTCGGCCTCCCAAAATGCTGGGATTACAGGTGTGAGCCACCGTGCCTGGCCACTTATTGCTAATTTTTTATATGTCTTTTACTTCCAAGGACATGTAGACTTTTTTTTTTTTTTTTTAACAGAGACGCAAAAAGTAAGCATTTCTCTTGGACCAACTAAAATTTTGCAAGCTGAGCTGAGTAACTTTCTCCATGTTTATTAAGTACTTGCCCCCTGCCCTCTCAACATGTGAGTAAAGAATGCTCACTGTGGGGAAGAAATAAGTCTTACTCCCATCTGAAGGGAATAATGTTTTGGTATTACTTCCTTAATTCTGAAGAACCAAGTTGTCCAGAAATTTTCTCGGTACCATTTGGACTAGAGTTTGGCTGGTTAACAAGGGATACTAGCTAATTGCTTTTCTCTGATATTCTGAGCCTCTTTTTCTGGAGGAGTATCTGTATCAGTTTCTTTTCATCAGCTCTTTTTTTTCCTTCATTCACTTACTCATCCAGTTAACGAACATGTTGGCATCGCCTGTGTACATACTAGGTGCAGAGGGTGTTAGCAAAGGTTAGGGAGGCACAGACCCTGCTCTGAAGGAGCCTGCAGTTTCATGGGGAGAGAAGAGAATGAAGAACATAAATAACAATCATATCATGTGACCTAAGCACCATGTGAGAGGGGCTAGTAATGTGGTTTGCGAATTTGGAGGAATAAAATCCTCCAGCTAGAAGGCCCAAGAAAGTCTTATGGAAGAGACAACTTCTTAAGGTGGGGTTCAGAGAAAAGGGAAGGCCTGGCCTGTTGCAGAACAAGGAAGGGCAAAGAAGAAAGTCTTGCACAGAGGCATGGAGGTTGCTTCGAGCTGTGGTGCCCTATAGAAA